GTAAAAGTAGAAGTACTCAGGTCTTGTACTTGAGTGAAAGTAGAAGTACTCAGGTCTTGTACTTGAGTAAAAGTAGAAGTACTCAGGTCTTGTACTTGAGTAAAAGTAGAAGTACTCAGATCTTGTACTTGAGTAAAAGTAGAAGTACTCAGATCTTGTACTTGAGTAAAAGTAGAAGTACTCAGGTCTTGTACTTGAGTAAAAGTAGAAGTACCAGAGTGTAGGAATACTCTGTTTCAGTAAAAGTCCTGCATTCAAAATGTCCCTCAAGTGAAAGTAGAAAAGTATTATCATCAAAATATAGTGAAAGTAGTGACAGTAAAAGTAGTCGTTGTGCAGATTGGTCCATTTCAGAATAATATATATGATATGTTTTATAATGATTGATCATGAAAGTGTTCTCAAAGCTGGTAAAGGTGCAGCTAGTTTGAATGACTTTGTATACTGCAGGGTAGCTGGTGGATTTACTCCAGGTGGAACTAAAGTCTGATTTAACACTTGATTATATTTCACATCATTCATCCACATCTGTGAAGTAACTAAAGGTATTAAACACATGTAGTGGAGTAGAAGCACACCATTTACCTCTGAACTGTATAGAAGTAAAAGTACTAAGTAGCATAAAATGTAAATACTCAAGTAAAGTACAAGTACCTCAAAATGGTACTTAAGTACAATCCTTGAGTAGAGATACTTAGTTACTTCCCACCTCTCCTTGGGTGAATCCCAAGCTGCTTCACAAAGCCAACAAACTCTGCCTTTGTTATTGTTTTGAATTAGCGACCCCTTGTTCTTTAACTCTGATTATTTCTCCATAGTTTCCAGACCATTCCACTGTGTGTGTGGACGATTGTGACTGCATCGAGGGACTGAACGATCCTCGAGGCAGCGGTAGGGCGTAAATAACTAAATATAAACAAATAAAAGTATCAAAATACTCGCCATGGGACACTTGCATTTCAAATGATGATCTAATATTAGAATAAACAATGATGCAGCTACTAAAGAGCCCATTTGGCTTTCACTTTAAGCACATTTTCTTTTATACTTCCGTACTTTCATTTAGGTAAGATCTTGTAATACTTCTTCCACCATTGGACCTCACTTGGTGGCTTTAGATGATTATGTATAACTGAATTTAGTTAATAATAATAAAGCCTGACATTATACTTCTCTCCTCAGGTATTCAGACCGGTCTGTGTGAGAACTTTTCTACAACTGTAAAAACCTGTGAGGTGATCTCCTGGTGTCCTCTGGAGATAGACTCTCATCTGCCTGAGTACGAATACATGCATAGTATTTATAATAAAGGACAATATTGATTATTATATCAGTATAGTTTAGACTTCAGATGCAGTATTTAATAGTGTAGATTATACATGCAGTTTAATAGTATTTATAGGAGTATAATGTTGATAATGAATGCAGTATTACTGTATGTATATTAATGTGTAATGTATTGACATGTTTTTATTCCCTCAGTCATGCTTTGCTGGATTCAGCAGAGAACTTCACCGTGTTGATCAAGAACAGCATCACGTACCCAAAGTTCAACATCCACAGGTCAGTGTTTGAGTTTTTTATCTGAATGTGAAATGCAAACATACATTTTTATCTTACATTCTTTCGAACACTATTTTAATATTGCTTTCAAAATTGTACTTTAGCAAAAGACGCAGCAATCTTACAGCACCAATAATTACATTTATATACCTAACATTACAAAAAAGTACCTCAAATTATACAAAAATAAAGCTATAGCTACCACTACAAATGACTACTGTGTAGTTTCTGCAAAAATATATTTAAAGGGGTCCTATTATGTTAATGTTCAGGTTCATATTTGTATTTAGTGTCTCTACTTTAAAGAGTCCTCTCCTGCTGATGTTCAGGTGTATATCAGTATGTAGTGTCTCTACTTTAAAGAGTCCTCTCCTGCTGATGTTCAGGTGTATATCAGTATGTAGTGTCTCTACTTTAAAGAGTCCTCTCCTGCTGATGTTCAGGTGTATATCAGTATGTAGTGTCTCTACTTTAAAGAGTCCTCT